TCGGAAATTTTGAAAAGAACCCCTTTTTTTTTTTTTTTCACCCCTAATAGGTACCAGTTCTAAAACAACACATTATCTCCAGACGGTTTTTTTTTTCGGCTCAATGCCCTGAAAGGTACCGCGAAAGCTCCCGCTGTGGACCTTTTGAGGCTGAACACCCTGAGAGGCACCAAGACCGCTTTCTTTAACCCCTAAAAGGTACCATGAGTACCCCGTCCTTTTTATATCGGAGTCCTCCCCCTGGGGGTTAATGGCTATTTAGCTGCCTTCTTTATGTTCTAAAAGAACAATAGAGCTAAACACCTAAAAACCCATTAACCGATCCAGAAACTTCACAGCAAACCGACACACCCAATTTGAGCTAAGTTTACTTTTCGAATTCCTATTCAATAGTCGCTCATATTTTAGGCTTTTCCTCATGCATATCCTTATATTTCGACTCTTGTATTTTGTACTGTGTACGGACACTCGTATCAATTACGAGCTTGGGATACCTTGCCGTTCAGTGGCATAATAGTTAATCCGCTTAAGCAGAAGGGAAAATGATTCTACGTAAACATAAATCATTCAGTGGCTGCCTGATATTTTTAATTAGTATAAAGAGCTCCAATCGTCTTACGAAAGCGAGCAAAATTAATATTGTAATCGGAAAATAATTTATATTCATTTTTAGGGAGATTTATTTTATGAATGATTCACCCTTTAAATTTTGTAATTCTAAAACAATATTAAAGTTGGATTTAATCAGCAAAAAATCTTTTGTCTTTGACTGATTACAACAAACATGCATGCACATCATTTACGGTCATAGTAAATGGATGTCTTTTGTCATTGCTATGATAATAGTTTGACAGCAGCATGTCACCAATTAGCAACGTTTCCAAACAGGAGGGTAACACATTTTGAAATCAAAGACGCAGAAAGTAACTGGATGAAAAAAGTATGGTATATCATAAATTTGGAAAGTTGCGTATACTTTTACTGACTTTCTTTTGTGAAGAATTATTTTCTTCACGTTAAAGACTTATATTGGTAGTGTTCAAATCACAAGAGCACCTGGCATGTGACTTTATTTGAGAGTTTTCATCAATTTTAATTTGGCCGTGCTTCTGAGTTATATATTGTCTGCAAACTGGAATCTGAGAATGAGTATTCTCAAGATAGACCACAAATGCTACCGTAAAATATAGTAGTAAACTAGGGGCGATCAATATAAGGCCAGGTCTATGGACCCAGAGTGGACCTGAATCGATTTAGTGTTCACTGGGTCGACCCAGTCTAACCCAGTTTAATATAGCTCATGCAAACTTATATACAGCTCACTTTTTTTGTAATCTTTATTATTTACATTTTTATCCGTTTCTTACTTCTTCAATATTCTCATATCCTGCGGTTTTCTTCTCATTCTAATTATACAATGATTGCTTAATGTTGGATTTTTCTATATTAATCACATCTATTTATTAAGTAGAAGCTTTTCAAGTAAGCCTTGCATACTTTTCTGTCAAACTCTGCTTGCCGAAGCCAGAAAAGTAGTATTACTAACATCCTATCGAATAGGAAGCACCCATTTGTACTGACCTAGCTTTAAATTCATATTTACATACTAATGTGCAGCTGTTAGGCTAGTTTAATTTCATCCTTGAACTCGTCTGTTAGTCGCTACAAGCCGAGATTCAAATCAAAGATTCGCTTAACAAATAGACCTAGATACCAGGATACTATTCGTAGCAGAAGCATATCACCTTTCTGGGTGATATACTTCTGTTCGTAGCTATGGACAAACTGCTATTTTTCGTGTATGGTTTTCGATATGATGTTATCAAGTCTCGTTCTTTAATTTTACGTTATTTTAGGAATAATTACATATCATTTTTTTTTACTTCCTAATAAGTTTTGTGCTTACGTTACCTTTTCCATTCTTTGTTATATGACTGAGAAAATTACTTCGTTGTGATTGGCTGAAAACAGGCCAATTTATCGTTAATTCTTAATTGACGAGCGCTCGCTCGCATTTCTCTCAGTCAAATAATAAATGAGTAATCGTTTGAAAACTCGTGATATTTGAAAAGTTCTTTCAAATTGCACGCGCCTTAAGGCTCGTGCAGTTTTGAGAGAAGTTTCAAATATGTCGTAGTGTAAATCCTTAATTGAACTCGCATTCATGCGATTACCTATACTAACCAAGTAATAATAATAATAATAATAATAATAATAAAATATTTATATAGCGCCAATCAACTATTTTACTATTTTTTTACATTAAATAAAAAAAATATTTAAAAAGCTAAAAAAGGGGAGGGGAAAAAATAATAATAATCTATAAATTTAAAGAGTTAAAAAGCTTGTTTAAAATATATGTTTTTAAATGCCGTTTAAAAATGTCAATCGAACTACTGGATCTTAGTTCAAGTATACTGTGTTGAAATAATTATTGAAAGCAGGATGACGTTCCCTGAATCTCAGTAACTACTTAATTACATCATCCTTAAAGTCACCCATTTACCGGTAAACCTACCTGTTAAATTAATTAGACACACGTAAGAATTTTACTCTATGTATTCATTCAGATATCGTAATCTTTGGATACTCTCCTTCAGTAACATTTTCAAAATAACAATACAAAAGTTCAAATGAGGCCTGAAACCACCGGGAAAATCGAAAGTTAAAATCAAAGCTCTAGAAAGACTTTCTTTCTAATTATAGCTATTATTATTTACTTTCAACTTCAAATTATATTATAACGGGTAATATTTTGAATATTTTTAAAGAAACACAAATCTTTGGATATTGTTCTTCAATAGCATTTTCAAAAGAACAATACAAAAGTTCAAACGTAATATTTTTAATAATAAATATTATAACAGGTAATATTTTAAATATTTTTGAAGAAACACAAATCTTTGGATATTGTCCTTCAATAGCATTTTCAAAAGAACAATACAAAAGTTCAAATGTAACATTTTTAATAATAAATACTTTTAATATTTTTGATGCGTTTAAATAAATGTTTTTGCTCATGTAATGTTACTTTCACAAGTTTATAGAACCAGACTTGCCTGTAATCCAGGCTGTTTTATGTACGGAACATTGCCCTTCGTCGCCAACGACTATAATATTCTCGACCGCTTACCGCAATGATGGGATCTGCATGTTTGGTTAAAGGGCAACGTCAATGATTTCACCTTTAGCTTGGGGAGCTTGAATCTCAGCAGGAGCAGCACGTGCACCAATAGCCACCGCGCTGCGAGGTGAATAAGCAGGAGTAACTGACGCTTGCACCCTGCAAATCTTTTGTAGTCCAAGCAGTTTAACAAACGCAGCGAAATACCTACGATTTCTCGCACAATATATGTAAGGGTTGATGGAAGAGTTACACACTGACAAAAGTTGAAGTGAGTAGAAACACTTCCAACATCTATTGCTGGTACATGTATCTGGAGTTTTGGAAAGAACGGCTGAAAAAATCAAAAATGGCAGCCAGCAACCGACAGAGACTCCCAGAATGATCGCAATAGTTTTCGCTGCTTTTCGTTTCCGCTTATTATTGGACACTTCATGGTCAAGTGAACCATTCTGTATTTGAATCACGGAGTTCTCGACTTTTCTCGCGATAAGAAAAATGTAAAGGTAAATTGACACTGTTCCAAGGAGGACCATAGTAAAGTATGTGGAAAGGAGCATAAGGGAAAGAAGTTCGGTGGATACTAATATTACAAGTGTGAACGAAAAGATCCAGATGCAGATTAGAGTGATTACAGCACGCCGCCTTGTCACCACCAGATCGTATTTCATGGGAAAACGAATGGAAATCAGTCGTTCAACAGTCACACCAAACATGTTTGTGATAGAGGCAATGAGTGAAAAGAATCCGAGGAAACGTGATATTGCAAAAAGTTCCATTTGCGTGGAGACTTGATCCAAATTTGCAAGCCTGTAGTTTTTCAAAGGCTGGTAAATTGCTGTTACTAGGAAGTCAGACATAGACAGACTGAAAATAAACAAGTCAGGAATTTCCCTTAAGTCGTCAAACTTCATTATGGATGAGAGAACTAAGGAGTTTCCAAGAGTTCCAAGAAAACTGGCAACGCCCAGTACAGTGCATAAAATGACAATGGTAGTCTGTTCAAGAATTTCTCTCTCTGTCGATACAGTTGGTCCGCTTGAAGGACATTGTGTGGTGATGTTCAGCATAGACGATGAGTTTGCCATCTTCAGTTTGCGCGCCTATCCACGAAACAAATCGATTTCGTGAGAATTCTCGACCAATTTTAAAAACTGTAGCCACTAATTATTTTAAAATCTTAAAATCTTAATTTTAAAAACTTCATTGCTAAATTTATCAAAAGATGACACATGAAATCAATACCTGGGCCGGGTTGTTCAAAGCCCGATTAAGCTTACCCAGGATTATCAAGAATTTTGATTTCAGTTTTGTAACTTTTCGGTGAGGTTTTTTGTTTATAATGTTTGTCCTTCAGTTTTGAGCTTGACTAAGCTCAAACTACACAAAACGTGAGCGGTAAAAAATATTTTTATACGAGAAAAACTAATACTTCAGTGAACTTTTAACCCTGGGTTAGCGTTAACCGGCTTTTGAACAACCCGGCCCTGGAGATTAATAGGTCTGTATAATTCAAGAGCTCGTGTTTTGTGAAAAAGATAATTCATGAAGATCATGATCAGTTCTTTAAGACGCGACTACAGCTCGACAAGAGACGATGATATATAGACCATCGTCTCTTGGGTTCAAGTAACGCTAAGTTGTTGACTGTGAAGTTTCTTGTACTTTTCTGGGTCCCTGCAACATTCAGGTAATAAGTAGAAATTTGGCTCCCTCTGGACCTGAAAATGGAGTGTGTAACGCAAGTTTCAAACCAACAACTTCGACGTGCCGGTTGCATGTTTTAGTAACAGCTGAACGTGTTGAATCGAACACATGAAAAAATGGAAGTGGAAAACTTATTGACAGCTTAACGGAATCTTCAGACATATAACACTGAATCAATACTTTCAAAACTGATATGGCAAACTGTAAATTACCGGGTGAAGTCCGGAGTAACTTGTCTTCCGTGGCCGGGGTCAGAACTGTCGTGTACTGAGCTTAGTGTCCAGATGACTCGATGGGCTATACACTGATTCCAAAGCGTTTAATGCATTACTTTTAAGATTGCTTCTGTCGGAAAGATAAAAGTTCACAATTATCATTTTAAATTGTTAAATGATGTCTTAAACACGATCTATTTTAAAAACACTCGCTGCGAGTTTCAGACCCATGCCTTAATTCTGACGTGATGACGCACTGAATCCAACACTCGAGCCATTTGAGGTTACTTAACATGGTCCTTCGTGAAAACAAAGACGAACCTGAAATTAAAAACAATTAAAAACTAAAACTAACTGAAATTTTTCGACATTATTTAAATAACATTGATATTAACTTGGCCAAGAATACCCACAATCTATTATTAGTATATAATTTGAATCAGGCGTCCTTGGAATCGTTTTAAAGTCTAGTTCACTATACCTTTTGATAAAAATTTGTCCGGTTTTCTGTTTACCCTCTGTAGTCTGATTGATGTTCACGACACGTTAAAATTTTGCATGAGGGTGAAATTGATTTATAAAGCGGTCGTTTCTAAGAGTTTTGTTTGATGGGGCAATATTCTAATGTAGGGCTGCATTAAGACTGTCGGTCTCGTCTGTTAATCGACCATCAAGGGAGACCAATATAGGCCTCTACATTATAGTCCAGGTTAAAGTAGAGATGGGTAAACATTTTATGCGACGACAAACGGTTTTCTTTGATTGTTTTCAAGCTTTAATTAATAAGGAAGCGCGGAAATGTTGGCTTGAGCCGATCGGCAAAAGTGCTTTTAACTGATTGCGCCGTGAACATTTACTGGTGTCTTTGAGTACATACGCGAGTACATATTTACCTCACTGAACAAAAGCTACCATTAAACCGTTAGGAAATAAATGATTGCAAAAAAATTTTAAAGCGCAATTGACTTCCTTTGTATATTCAGCTATCGAATGCTAAATCTTTTAGCATATACCACCAAAAAGATGAGAACATCACATGACCCGGCCTACTTTGAGTGATGGTTTTCGGAAACTGCCTTTAAGGCGGCTCCAAACAGTTTCCAGCACTTTCTAAGACTTAAGCTTTGATGGGTCATTGTAACCACTGTTCATCAGTTCTTGCTACTGTCATGGTATCAAGACATTGCCCAATCATATGTGACCACGTTGTTATAATTTTCGTGACCAAATGGGTTACCATAGCAATAGAATGACCTGCTAAAACCACCCTTAATTTTGGCTTTATGTTATTATATTTCAATAACGATAACATGAAGCCCATTAATGAGACGCAGCGTTTGGGAAAGTTAAAAAAAAACATTTTGCACATGGGGTTCAAAGCCAACATAAATTTCCGAAAATTTAAGGTTCACCAATGATTGGGCAGTTTTTTGATACCTTGATTGTAACATCAACCGATAAAGAGTGGTTCTAATGACCCATTAAAATCTAAGTCTTGGAAAGTGCTGTAAACTGTTTTGAGCCACCTTAATTACTTAAACGGTTTTAAAATTTCTTATAAATTCGACTCAGCAGACCCAACAGAAAATTTGGATAGGATTTCATGGCTTATTTTATTCTTTGGTAACATAACTCATGATTATAGCTCTCCTAGGCTTACAGCAATTTTATGTACGACCTCATAATTTGAACTCGCTTTCATACCTGGGATTGTATACCTCATCTGAGATTTCGTGTCGCATGACAAAAAGCCTCGATCACGAGCTCTTCATTGTGAATCAAACCGTGGGAAAACTAATTTAATAATATTGAAGACAACTGTTATAGTTCATAACAATTTTACCTTACCTTCCCGTTCAATCCAGGAAAAAAAAGAAGTTGCATAATTAAGAAGTCCATCATGTTGATAGACATCTTTGCTTAAACGTTCAATTTTTTCAACTTCCTTGCGGCATACTTCATGTTTACTACAGTAATGGAGTATAATCGATGTAGCCGACAAAAACAGAGCGAACACGGTGTCAGTCTGTGGGCAACAAATCAGCCTGACTGGGTAAAATGTCTTCAACGCAGCTGTTCTGAAAGTGTTTTTCCTGGAACTGTTCTTGTTCTATGCAGGCGTGAATATTATACCGGCGAGAACCTGAAGATCACTGATGAAGAACTGCGCTACACCGGCTTATCCCCAGTTTCAACGGATCTCTTCAAGATGATTTTTCTAATAATGTTTAAAAATAATAGACTTTAAAACAGTAAGTCGTTAGAGGCAAAAATATGTTTGATATTCCAAAGCATGTTTTAGAAATATTCGCAACTCGTTTTGGAAAAGAAAATCGGATTGTGGCAGCTTTTCTTTCTCTCGTTCTCTCGGTTCTGCCTATTTTCTGCTCAATTCAATTTCATTGAACTTTTAGTAATTTGCACTTCGGCAAAGAGGTGGCTACGGAAAACTAAAACGCGTTATCTATTTTAAGATCGTCGTTTACAGTTTAAAACCAGACACCATGACGATTGAGGATTTATGGCTGGATTATTCAGTTCACATTTTTATTTCTGGAAGTAATAAAATCAAACCTGGGGAAAACATCAGACAGTTTCATTTGTTCGTTAGTGACGTTTACAGGATGTCCAATCCATTCGGCAGCTGTTTCGAAAATAATTTTGCGTCCACTCCACGTATTTACAAATCTCTGACGCGAGACGTCCGGGCTAATTGAAAGTTTAATTATAGTCATTCTACTTTCAAATGTTTCTCAAGATTTCCCCATGACAACGGCACGTCATTTCACAACATAATCAGTCACAAATAGAAATTGAGTGACTTAAACGGTTTCACTTCAACAAAGGAAAATGCTTTTACTGTGTTTAGCCAAAGGGACCGTTGTTCTTATTTGCCTTTGTAGATTTGTCCTAGGTTTATCTCAACCAAAAATATGTTAAAGATCACATACATTTTACGCAGGTTAAACAAACTTTAAGCCATGTTTTACTCGGAAATGAATTCCTCATGCAAATTACAGATATGGTATTTTAGTATGTCACTTATGGCAATTTTAATTTCAATCGGCTGATAGTTAATTTGAAATAGGGTGACGGGTTGTTTTCATGTCACATGTACAAGGACTACTATAAACTCAGTCTTTCCGGAGCTCGACAACGTTGTTATTAGTTTTACATCATCTTAGTCTCAAAAAGGAGGTCGCCACCTCGCAAACAACCCACTGGGCAATTCTTTGACAACATTAAAATGGACAATTCAAGCTTTGGAACACCGCAACCATCCTCGTGTGTTACGAGCTCTGAAGCTCTGCATGATCTAAGCCTAGCCTGGATTACTTATATTGCCATTTCTATCAATATCACTTTATGTATTACTGCTGCATTTGGGAACATTTTGATCTTAGTTGCTCTTCAAGTGGATTGCCACCGGCTTCATTCACCATCGAAGCTGTTATTTCGCTCTCTGGCATCGACTGATCTCGCCGTTGGCCTCATTTCACAGCCATGTTTTGTTATGCACCTTATCTTAATCGTCAGAAAACGCTTGAGCAGTTGTCATATAACTGAAGGTGTAGTACAAATCTCGGGAGCTATATTGTGTGGCATTTCTATTTTCACACTGACGGCAATGAGTGTGGACAGACTTCTCGCTCTGCTGTTGGGCCTGAGATACAGACAAATCGTAACTCTCGCGCGAGTTCGTGGAATTATTGTCACCTCGTGGTTGGTGTTCCCTTCTTTCGCCATGTTGTTCTTTTGGAACATACATATCTTCACGATAACCCTCTGCGTGAATGTACTGCTATGTCTTGCAGCGTCAACGTCTTGTTACATGAAAATCTATTTTACTCTGCGTTAGCGGCAGACTCGGATATCTCAACAGTCTAGACCAGGACAAATAAACAACTCTACTAGAGCTCACTTGGCTGCTTATAACAAGACAGTGTCTAATTCGCTGTGGATTTTTTTTACATTGATTGCGTCTTATCTTCCTTTCGCTATAGTGCAGGTGATAAGAACTGCGCACGGTCAGAGCCCGTCCATTGTTATCGCAGAAGGAAGCACAACTTCTCTGGTTTATCTGAATTCTTCCCTGAACCCAGTTATTTACTTTTGGAGGATAAGAGAAGTGAGACAAGCAATAAACATGACGGTAAGGCGTTTC